TTCGTGTTACGACTCAAAAATAAAATTCCAAATCAAGGCCCAAGACTTTCTGGAAACAAAGACAGGACCCTTAAAGCCCACGTACAAATTATGGCTTCACTTTGTCTGCTTCTGGTTGACCGTCTGAGCGCCACGCGCATTCATGGCGTCTGAGCGCAATATCTGCTCTTCTTTTTTGGCGTTCTTCCCCACGCTCCAGGGAAAACTACTGCTGCTGCCGCACTTCTGGCTTTCTCTGTTTTCTCTACCAGAAACTAGAGAGGGTGAGACAATGATAGATAGAGACCCTTTTCTCACTTTCGGCTTCAACTTATGTACGAGTCTGTTTGAGGTATTTTTGGCTGCAAGATTGGAACTTTTGAAAACCCTTTTGTTTATTTATTAAGTCTTGGTGGACTCTCAAGAATCAATCTAGGTGAGTTTTAACCTTTAACTACTTTTTTTTATGACAGCTTCTCCTATTATTGCTCAATTACTCACTTGGGTTTGTTTGGTTTGATATTGGTTTATGGTGTTATTGAAAAAGTTAAAGAATACTAGTATTTGAGCCACCAAACAATCAACTGCAACAATCTTTACTGTTTGCTCTTAAATCTGGGAAGAAAGGGGGAAGGGAAACTATTGGGTTATTGGGGTTCGGACGTTGGAGCATTGGAGAGTCCAAAAATGAGTTGGGTTTGAGTCTGGATTTTGGATTAAGATTGAGAAATTGAGATTGATTCCTGTGGTAGGAGGAGTATGGTTTGTTAGTGTTCCCATTGATCTGTGGGATGTTGTAAAGCAGAGAAAATAGGTGGCTTTGGGGGCATAGTCATCTGAAGATGTCTAGGGTTCAACTTCAACATCAAATCTATCAAAAAGATGGTTTTTCTACATATCCACCTCCTCTTTCTCCGTCATCTTCATCCCCATATCCTGTTTCTTTACACTCAGAATCAGCCTCTTCATCAACCCCATCTTCATCTGGTACCAGAATTAGTCCTGCAGTTCTTTTCATTATAGTGATCTTAGCTGTGCTGTTTTTCATCTCTGGTCTTCTCCATCTGCTTGTTAGATTCCTCATAAAGCACCCATCTTCCTCGGGATCTTCTCAATCTAATAGATATCCAGGTATGTCCAGCTCTGATGCTCTTCAAAGGCAGCTGCAACAACTTTTCCATCTCCATGATTCTGGTTTGGATCAAGCTTTTATAGATGCTCTTCCTGTTTTCCAGTACAGAGAGATAGTGGGTCTAAAGGAGCCTTTTGATTGTGCTGTTTGTCTCTGTGAGTTTTCTGAGAAAGACAAGCTGAGACTGCTTCCTATGTGTAGCCATGCATTTCATATAAATTGTATAGACACCTGGCTACTATCAAACTCAACATGCCCTCTTTGTAGAGGAGCTCTTTTCACTCCTGGATTCTCAATGGAGAACCCAATTTTTGATTTTGATGATGTTAGAGAAGATAATGGATGTTCTGGAAATGGAGAAATTGGATTTTTCCCTGGTCAGAAGACGGTGGAAATGGAAGAAATTGTTGTTGAGAAAGGTGTCTTGCCTGTCAGACTAGGCAAATTCAAAAGGCTAAATGACGGGGCAGGGCAGGCAGGAGGAGAGACTAGTAGCAGCAATTTAGATGCAAGAAGATGTTATTCAATGGGTTCATATCAGTATGTGCTTGGTGATTCAGATCTTAGGGTCGCCTTATCTCATGACCGAAATGGCCGTGATATTAAGCTTTCAAAAGGTGTAGGGCAAAATGGAAATTCTTCAGCTGAGAGGGATGTGGAAGGGAAGAAGATCAGTAGCGTGACAAAAGGTGAGAGCTTCTCTATTTCCAAGATCTGGCTTTGGTCCAAGAACGGGAAATTTTCAAGCTCTTCAGATGCCCAAATGGGTGTGCCTTCTTCTGTTAACATAGACTTACCATGGGTGGCTGAAACACAGAAAAAGTGAAAGGTAATTTATTTGGTGGTTCCTTGTTTGGTCATTACTATTTGATCAACGCTTGTTGTGCCCTTGCCGAGCTTTTCTTCTTGAAAATTTTTTGCAAACGCTAATTCAGAAGTTGTAATGTTTGTTTGTGGCATATTGTTGGTGTTCTGTAAATATTTTATCCTTGAAACGTTTAATTCGCTCACTTACAATTACAAAGGCAATTTCTTGTTGTAACTTGTAGGGAATGAGAAAGAAATCATGTAGGTGGCATAATGTTGTTGAGAGACAAGGCTATGCTGTTGACTGCTGCTTTCTTCTTGTTTGTTGCAGCAATAAACTCATGATAGCATATTTCTTCTAGAATAAGATATGGCACAATATATTTGCACACTTTTTCACATCTTGGCAATCTTACTAACTAAATACTTTGAATCATTCATTTCTCATGAAGATGTCCTCATTTGAACTCCATCTATATCATTTTTGGTGCTTGCTTTATTTTATTTTACTTTCACCAAGCAATTGCTTTTCCCATCAAGATGACATTCCAGTTTTACTCTAGGCAACATGTTATGGCTGTACCAATTTCTTCATTATCATCATTCACCTAATGCACAGAAATCCAAGAGCGAGAAATGAGAATCTGATATTGAAAAAGTTGTGTTCTAGTAAAACTGTAT